GACAGCAAAAGTAGAAGGATACGGAACCCGTGGATCAGGTTTGAAAGCTCACCGCAGCTATTCGACTCAGGCTCTCCTTGTCTAGTCGAACGACCGTGCCATTGTCGTATACCCAGCTGAGCCATGCCCTCCAAGGCTCTGAAACCTGCAGAGTGCTTCGATCTCCTACGACTATGACCTGCGATGCAATCGCTGAACTACGGACATCGTAAGTATCTCACTCCATATCGAGCTCTAGTGAGCATCACATTCACACGACGATAGTCATTCAGGAAGCCTACCGAGTACTCAGGGTTACTTCGAACCTAACACATAGACATCAGAAAACTGACAGAACCGACCGTGGGTCACCGCCGAGAATACGATCCAGGATCGTTCACTGCCTTGGAAGGCGTCAACTGAATCTACAATGGGGTCAGGGATACTTGTGTTAGGACCAAGCTCTCTGCACCTGAGTGAACCGTACGCGCTGGTTCGGAGCATAAGCAGCTTACTTGCGATGATCACTGTCAGCGTAGGCACCATCGACAATATTAGTAGGAATGAGATGCAACTGGCGCCTCAGATAAGTTCTCTGCGCTGCGTAGGGCGTCACCACTCCGATCTGTCAATACACTGGTGACCTCAGCAAGTGACCCATCGAGCTCACATCGGAGTCATCAGCACCCGTGGCGAGCAGGGAGTCAACTGTCTGGATAACTGCGTCCGCCTCCTGTACATTATAGTAGCTGTCACAACCCTTGTCGAAAGCCTCTCGGGTGGCCCCTGCATAAAATCTATCCTCATCACTGTTGTTCATATACGTAGCTTACCCCCGGTGTCTACAAAGACAACACGACTGCCATGAACAGAGACAACTCGATCTGCGAAGATATGCGGCAACATTAGAGGGGGCCAAAACTTTGACTTCCAGCTTGGGTGACTGGTAAGCTGATGGTCATAGAAGTGCTGGCTTGAGAATGCCGCCACTTCAGGGTGCATCCTAAACTGCTCGCGGAGGAGCTTAGGCGGTCCCAAGCTAAAAACCAGCAGCTGATAACGTTATCGAAGGATGCACTGGTATCACACGGCATAACATTACATCACTACTAAGGGTAATATGATAGTCCGAGAAGAATCAAATCTGTTTTGTCGATAATGAGTGCATCAGCAACGAGTCAAATGACTTCGGCAACAGATTGTGCATAGAGTGCCTACTTAGAATCAAGTAGTTCATCGAA